TCGTAAATAGTACAAAACCTAGTGTAAAGGACTTTAGTCGATTTCTTTCCAATATTGTCCTATGACCGAGATGGCTTCTAGTCAGTTCCCTGTGCAAGTAACCAGAGCCAAATTTTCTTCTAGAGAAAGATTAGAAGCCTAAAGACATTTGCTTACTGGTTTCTGTGGTCTGTCATTCTCTTGTCTCTCTCATTTTATTCGTGGCCACTTGGAGAGACTCTATTACAAATTGTTTGGATAAGAAGGTGACATCTCCAAAGTTATTTCTGCGGGCATCTGGATGGCAGTGCATGGCCTCGCCTCCTTCAAAGCTGTTGCTCCTGGTGATCTCAGGCGCACAGAAGCAATTGGACTTTTTGGCCCCAAACGACCCTGCATTAGAAGCTCCTGGTCAATGCTGACTGCAGCCTGTCTATTCTGGAGCTGGCAGCGACAGCAGGCATTTCCTGATCATACAGCTTTCTTCCTAGTTGCGGGAACATGAACAGCTCTTTTGGCAGCCAGCTTTTTGTGTGTGAATTTGGAAGATATCCCTGGAAGAGGAACCTAGAGTTTTTATGCAATTCTGAAATCACTTCTGTTTAAACTAGCTAGAGAGATCTATGTTCATTACATCTAAACCTGACCTCTTCGGAGGAATTCTATTTTGTTAAATAAAATGGTATGTGAGACCTCGACATACAGCATGGATAAAAGCAGTGTGGCTGCACCTGCAGTATTTGGAGGGGGTGGGATCAGCAGGTGAAGGGGAGGAGCCTAGAGTCTAGCTCAGGTGTGCCCCAATTTTCCATCCCACCAGCCCAGGATGGTCCCTGAGGAACCCTAAGACTCCCAGGATACCATTTGAAAGTCTTTTAAATATATTCACCATTAATTAGTAAACACACATATCAAGTTGTAGCAATTATCTAGATGCAATATGGTGTGCCCTGGATGTGTACAGTCACCCTCGGTATATGCCAGAAAGAAATAAAAAATATCTCAATACCCTGACACAGAACTGGACTGTGATCGCTCTCAGTGTGGCATGCAGGTGGGGCCGGAAGGCCCCAGGTCCTGGCCACCACACACACGCATGTATTTCCTGTTAGATCTGTGGTTTGGCCAGTGAAGATCCCTCCACTGCAGCTCAGAAACACCTCTTCTCCCTACCTGGCTTCTCATGGCTGCACTTTTGGCCAAGGTGACAGGTTATTTCCCCTGAGCAGTTAAAGCTATGATTTGACTTGCTTTGGCCACTGGTTTTGCTAATCTTCCCACCTCAGACAGTCATGTTAGTAGCTGACTCCTTTCTGCTCCTTCCTAAGAGCCCTGAAAAGCCCTGAAAAGTCTGGCTCGCCATTCAGTGACAACACAGAGCTCCTAGCATCCCCCTGGGGGTTCTAACTCCCTATGTCATGGCAGAGGCCACAGGGAGCATACTCCATCAAGTGTACACTTCCATCCTGCCCTGAACTTGAATGCTTAGTTTTCCCAATGGCTTAGGACTCATGAGCTAGCTCTTAGCCTTTTTACTTCCTCTGTGCCAGTCCTGTTCCTCTCCACAGGACACCGCCCAGTGTAAGCCGTCTCCCCAAAAAAGTGCCTGCAGCCTGCAAGACACTCAGTTCCATTCTCACTTTACAACAGGCAATTCTAAAGAAAGGAGGAGAGACACCTTTCTGTGTCAGCCTGGGCTCAGGTCCCTGGACTTACCAGTCTCAGGTTCCTGGGACTGGAATATGTGAAGCATAAGGTTTCTCTTTGCTTTAAGAGAATATAGCTGTAATCAATAAATGGCTCTAGGACATGACCGACATATGGGTGGGGGAGCCAAAAAAATGCCCCAGAATTTATTTATAAAAAAATGTGTATTTATTCTTACATGTTTGAACTTCATTCACTTTCAAAGTACTCTCCATTTGATGCGATACACCTGTCAAGACACTTTCCCCACTGTTCAGTTTTTGAACTCACCCATTTTGATGCCTTCTAGTGCTTCGGTCATTTTTTGTTTCACCTCTCACATCGGCAAAATGTTTCCCTTTGACTTTTTTTTCATTCAAGGAAACAGAAGTCACTCGGGGTAAGGTCAGGTAAATAGGGAGGGTGGGGAATGGGGTTTGTGCCATTTTTGATTAAAAAATGCTAACCACTCAGCACAGTGTGGGCAGGTTGTTCTTGTGAATCAGTCATCATAAAATGGGCAAACATATTGAAAGAATCTAAAATATATATATATATTTCACTGAAAAGCCTTTCATAACAACGCTAGCTGGTACGCTGATGTAGATGAGTTTATAGAACAATAACCTAACAGGAGAAACCTGTACTACCAAGGGCCTACCCTCCATAAAATAAGTCTGATGTTTTTTGGGGATCTCTCCTCATAGATGAAGTATTTCCTTTCATATCCTAGAGGGCTGGTCGATCTAATTTTCTGAAATAGACTTCACAGTTTAAGGGCATCTGAACTCATGGAAGAGAAAGGTGTTTTATACCTAAGAAGTTATTCATTGGTCCAGGTTGTGAATGTTTAAACTGAAATTGTAAAATATGCACATGAATTAACTAGCACGTGAAGATTTACCGCATATGTCTCTGTGTTTAATACTTGTGACCTTGTGAGAGAGAGAAGGGAATTCTTTTGCTACTGGATGGGAGGTAAAACAAGAAGGTAGGTACAATGTAATTTTTCTTTATTTTTTATTTTTTGAGTCAGGGTCTCACTGTGTTGCCCCGGCTAGAGTGCAGTGGCATGTTCGCAGCTCACTGCAGCCTGAGCCTTCTGGGTTCAGGCAATTCCTCTAGCTCAGGCTTCCAAGTAGCTGAAACTACAGGCGTGTGCCACTGTGCCCAGCTAATTTTTTGAATATTTTTTTCTTTTTTTGTGGAGATGAGGTCTTGATATGTTGCCCAGGCTGAGCTCGAACTCCTGGGCTCAAGCAATCCTCCCACCTTGGCCTCTCAGAGTGCTAGTATTACAAGAGTGAGCCACCGCACCCAGATGCAATTTTCCATTTAAAAAGAAATAAATGTAGGAGATAAATATAAGCCATTTTGAACGGCTTATAGTCTATTAAAACAGGTAAGACTCTATGTTGAGAATGAGACGTTGAAATCTTAAGATGTTGAGAAATTTCAAAATAATGACATTAGACCAATGGTTCATTGATGCACCACAGTGTATTTTATGTATTTCAAAGCACACATCAAATGTATACATTTGAGACATTTAATGCAAAATGCATTTAATAAATTATACATTTAATGTATCTCAAAGTATATATAAAAGAAAAAATGATATTCTATGTGTCAGAGAATAAGACTATAGCAATAAAATTTATTTTGATTATGTGTTTTCACATATAAAACATGAACTATTAATTAAATTCCTTTAGCTTTAGCCAGAGAATTGGTGCACAGGGTCATAAGCACTATAAGAATTAAACAATCTTCTTACACACACAAAATTTCTTGCTTCTTGGATTTTCAGCACTGTCTACAATCCATGTTTTAAAACAGTCTCTGCTTTCAACTTTTCTAGATCATTCATGCTGCTCCCATATGTTCTAACCAGCCTTCCAAACTAACACTTTCATATTCATGCGTGATTTTCATGGAGAACAATTACTTTTGAGGCCATAAAGAAGGTTCATAGTGCTGGGCTCACTTTAGGGAGATAGACATGAGTCTTCCAATGTCAAAAGTAGCAGATGTTCGATGAAGAAATATCTTTTGCTCTCTCAACACGTTTCTCCAACATGCTTCTCTATAAATGTAAATGCCCTCAAGTCAAATCTGCCTTCCTCTCTAGATCTGCTTCCCTTTCTTGCCCTGTGGTTTCCATTTAGTCCACTGCTAAATAACTGATATAAGTAATAATTAATAAAGATAATAATACAATTACAGTAATGGCAGCACTTACAGAATGCTAACTAAGGCTGTGTCAAGAACTGTTGTTAAGTACTTTTGTGTATATTTATTCATTTAGTACCCTTGTGAGGCTGGTACAGTTATTATAATTCTAATTTTACAGATAAGGAAACCCTGAGAGGTGGGTACAATTATTATAAATTCTAATTTTACAGATAAGGAAACTGAGGCACGGAAAAATTATATAAGGTTCCAGAGGTCACAGAAATAAGCAGTAAATTCAGAACTGGAGCTCACGAGTGGTTCCAGTGCACAGGCTGTGCTCTTAAACACGGTGTCATGCTACCTCCAGGCTAGAGGTATTTTAAACATGTAATTTGTAAAAAAAAAAAATCAAGCAACTAACTATCTTTTTGTTGTTGTTGCTGTTATTTAACAGCTAGTATATCTGGCACCCATTTTGAATAAAAACATTCACATAAAATCAGCAAATGTTTAAATAGATCCAAATATGCAGGCTGTTTGCCACAGTGCCTTCCTGGGGTCCCAAGAGCTGCTGGTCTGCAACTGTGGCCAGGATACACTAAAAACATCCTGGGGCCCAGGATATGCAGACAGCAGGCTCCCAGCAAGCTCAGTACTCTGCATTAGCCCTCCCAGCTCTCCCCTCCCACACCCCATGTAAGATCTGTGGTATTGGGGAACGAAAGTTGTGTTCCAATTACTCTATCACCCACTGGTTCATAGAAAATGCGTCTTCATGCACTTAAAATCCTCTCAGTCAAGTTAATCACTCACATTAAAAATTTCACAAGATGTCCCCTTTTTGTAAGGCACAGTTATTTTGCCTCACGTCCAGCCTCACGCTTGCTGAGTATAGGATTAAGTATGAGTATCTGCATGCAGTCAAAGACAGAGGAGGAGTTCCATTTATTTTGAATTCCAAGGTCTTTGGCGAGCCCATGGTCACAGCTCAATGTTTAGTCTTATTCCTGACAAGCTAACAAGAGGTTTCATCTTCAAACTGTGAGTAGGATATTCACAACGTCAATTATTTTTGAATAATAACCTTCATTATTCAAAAATGAATAATATCAATCCCCAGAATATCTAGAGTACTTTTTGACATTCAACTTTTCGGTAGATCAGTATTTTGAAAGAACAGGCAAGACTTCTGTTTCATCTCTATCTAGTTCCACCGATTTCGCAGGCATTAAGTAAAGAAGGTTTTTCCAGAATCTTGAGTTGTAAGGGGGAGACTGATCTGCATTCCACTTCAGAACTCTGTGAGATTTCAAAAGCTTTAGTGATTGAGGCAAGAACGTGAGGTCCCTAAGAGGTGTGAATTCAATTAAGATTATTTTAATTTTCCTTTCCACCAGCGCTTCATGGAGTCCACTTTCAAGTTCATACCTGACTTCATTAGACATATAACTTTTACTCAGAACAATGATTAGTCTTCGGCTTTTCTCTATCAGTGAATGAATCTCATCAACAACAGCTGAAAATGCAAGATGTGCCATATTAATTTAAGAGAACTAAAAAGGTTGCCACAAGATAAGAATCATTTTGCACAATCGTATTTTATATGATTTCACTCAACCTCACTAATGCGACTTTATGGAAGACAAACCATTTATTTTCAATTGTGTATGTCTATTACATACAATCACCCAGGTAATAATAATAATGAACACTTAGCACTTACCCTGTGCCACACCTTTTAAATGTTTCATGTATATTATTTAATCACCAAAGGACCCTGTGAAGCAGGTCTTGCATCAACCCTTCTTTTACAGACAAGCCCAAATACAGGGTGGTTAAATAAATAACTTGCCCATAGTCACACAACTAGTAAGTGAACTCAGGTAGAATGTAAATATTATACTATCTTATCTTTCTACATGCATAAAGGAGCATACTAAAACAAGAATTTTTTTTTTTTTTTTTTGAGTTGGAGTCTCACTCTGTCACCCAGACTGGAGTGCAGTGGCCGCTCCCGGCCACCGCAGCCTCAACCTGCTGGGCTCCGGTGATCCTTCCGCCTCAGCCTTCCGAGTAGCTGGAATTACAGGCGCGCGCTACCACGCCCAGCTAATTTTTTGATTTATTGTAGAGATGAGGTCTCACTGCCCAGGCGGGTCTCGAACCCGTGGGCTCAGGCAATCCACTCACCTCAGCCTCCCAAAGCGCGGGATTACAGGCTGAGCCACCGAGCCCGGCTTAAAACAAGAATTTAAAGATTAAAAACAACAGAATGAATGAAATGGATGAAAACTAACCATTATTTGAAACCAAGGATTGGCAAACTTGTTCTGTATAAGGGCAGATCGTAAATATTGCCGGTTTTTCAGGCCACACTATCTTTGTCACAACTACTCAACTCTGCTGTTGGAGCTCACATGCAGCCATAGACGTATACACAAATGTGTGTGGCTACGTTGCAATAGAGGTGGTGGGTGGGATGTGACCCGTAGGTGGAAGTTGGCCAACCCGTTCTAGACAGCGGACGCTTCTCAAATCAAGATTTCAACCAAGCCTCATTACAACTGAATACACATTCTATTTTTATTTACTTAAGAACGAAGAAGAAATCTATGTTCAGAACAACTCCTAGAAAACAATGGGATTATAGTAAAAAGGATGCAAAGCCAAGCATAAATGCTTTCTAACTAGCAGTATGCCTTATTAGATACAAAGAATGACCACACGAAAATGCCAAAGCAGTATATGCATCTGACAATTTGGCATAATATTCCTTTTGGTATGTTGTTTGTCTTTCTAGTTAGTAGTACTTTCCCTTTCTAATTTGTAATGTATGTGGGGAAAATACTTATTGATTGCTCTATACTCGATGCTCAGCTCAGAACTTAATACAGCAATGGCATTCAATAAATTCGGATAAGTGGTTGAATGAATGAAAGTAACAAGAATGACATTTGCAATTTTTCTTAGCTTCAGTATCCAAAATAATTTGATCCAGAGTTCAAGTGCCTGCTCTGAAAAATTGCAAATAAAGCATGAATATGTTACTACACTTCTTTGATCGCAATTGTAATTTTCTTCAATATGTGTTAGGACCCTCTGGATTCATAAGATACAATGTAGTAACAAGATGCATTGTATTTAATAACTGTAATATGATGGGAATCACTAATTTCCTCATCATTGCTCCAGCTCTCCTATTTTCTGCTTTCATTTTCTCACCAATATCAACACAATAAAAAGCATGCATTTTCTAGTAAGAATTAACCTGTGTCTATAGTCCAAACATCATGGATTAAATTAGCAATCAGTTTTACAGTACAAATATTCTTCCCATAGGTCATTTCTAGATAAATGCCTCATGATAATGCCAACACCGGGCCTGGTTCTGATAAGGAAATACCCATTCCCTTTTCCCAAAGTTTCAGAGACCCATAAAGCACAAAGAATAGAGCCCAAAAGTAGATTATTAAAAACGCATTAGTTTCCTCACTATTGATTATATTGACTTACCTGGTTATTTCTGATTTAAAGGACCTTGTTCATTTATTTGCTTTTATGGAAAATTGGATAGCTGTCGGGAGACTAGTTGATTCTTTCCTTTTTTTTAACAAAGAAAATATCTTGAATATTTTCTGTCTGGCATTCCTTTCTTACCTCTTCCAGGCACTACATCTCTTTCAAATATGCATAACTTATACCCAAAATGCTTCTCCAGCACCCTGGGCAAAATCTCCACAGCAAAGGTGTACTCCTCTCTGTTCTCAGGTGGGCATTCTTTTAGGTAAGACACAAAAGCATCATATGTTTTTCCATCTAGGAGATAAGGTTGATTCTTTTCATTACTGTGTAAACAAACGTTTCTTTAAGTACAAATTTGAGTGAATGTCATAAATAAGGAGTATAAAATTACTGAATAAGCAAAGTTAAATAGTATTGTTTGTATGTAAACTTCATATGCTAACCAAGCAACCAATTGGCCAAATTTGTTTTTAAGCACCCTCTTTAAGGAACCCACTGTTTGTACTATCGAGGGATAGCGAGAAATACAAGTTAGAGTTCAAGGCACCAGAGGAATTTACGGCAACGGAAGGTCAAGCAGCCCAAATGTGCCCTCATTACAGGAGTGGAAAGCCGATCTCGACCTGGCTTCCCCGTATCACTTAATTCTACTTCCATCTCAATCTCTACCCTCAAAATGATCCTCTAGAAAGGGAAGATAGAAACAAAGCTGAGTATTTACACTGAAGAGTGGAAAGAAACAATGGATGTGATTGAGATAGCCATAGGCTATGATATTTTAAAATATTACAGGATGTTAGATGCCAAAAGAAAAGCTTCTGACAACGAAAAGGTTTTCATTGATTGCAATAGCTGCCCTATTGAATTTCTGGAAATGGAGCAGTATTCAGATGGCTAATGGAACGAATTTAAGCAGAAATGTGTTACTTAAATGGCAAAGTACATTCTCCTATTTGGCTAACTTAAAAAATTATACAATTCTTTCTCTGCTTCACCCAATCAATTTGAAAAGTCAAAGCAGTCACATGCAACAACTTGAGAAAAGTTATAACACATCAGTAGAAGAAAGACAGAATGACATAAGCAAAACAAATAAACTAAACTGGCTAGAAAATAAAGAGTGACCCTGACGGGCATGCTTTCTGAAAGGAGGAAATTTTGAGTTATGGCCTTAAAAATACAACTGATGGCCAGGTGCGGTGGCTCAAGCCTGTAATCCCAGCACTTTTAGGGGCTGAGGTGAGAGGATTGCCTAAGCCCAGGGGTTCGAGACCAGTCCGGGCAACTTGGCAAGACCTTGTCTCTACAATAAGATAAAAAATTAGCCGGGTGTGGTAGCGCATGCCTATCGTTCTGGCTCCTTGGAAGGATCGCCTGAGCCCGGCAGATCGATGCTGGGGTGGCTGTGAGCGTAACACTGCACTCCAGCCTGGGTGACGGAGTGAGGCTCTGACTCGAAAAAAACAAAAACAAAAAAACAACTGATGCTAACTGGGATGGGTAGAGGAAGAAGGAAAGTGGAATGAGGATGATCCATCTTTATCTCAGAAATATCGGTTAAATGGCAGAGGGGTTAGATTTACCCTTGGGCATATTATTGGGATCAAAGTGTTTGTTGTTGAGTTGAAAGTTAGATATGATTGGATCATTTATTAAAATCCAATAGGCTAAAACCATTCTAGATTAATGTTCTTTATGGCACTGCATCATTTAAGCTCAACAGCCCAGCCCGATATCCTCAACTGTCGTCAGGCTCACCAAAGAACACTTTCCGTTTCTTGCAATAGCTTCTTCAGCTCTACCTACAGCATTCTGGTTCAGTAGTTCAGGTCAGAATCTATTGTTAATTAAAACAACTGCTTTGCAGAATTGCCTTTACATGACAGGATATTTTGGTTAAAAACGCAAAATTATGTAACTATTAAAGGTGGGAAAAGTTGGTAAAAATAAAACCAGTTATTCATTTAATCAGTAAGCAGATCCCATAAATACTTATCTTACATTGCTGTGAAATATAGCTGTTTACTAATTAAGTGACAACTAGTGAGCCTATTAGTGCTGTCATTGTGTCAGCGATGAAAACAGGCACCAAGACGTAAGACAACTAAATGAGCACACTTTTTAAAGAAGAGCATTTTTTTTTATCATCAGGATGCAATTGATTACAATAAACTGGGAATACAATTTCATTAAATATGGATTTATATTTCATGTGCTTTATAAGAACTTTGCTCTCACCCACGAAAAATTAGTTTTTCAACTATTAATTACTTTCATATTTTTGTTTAAGCAATTATCTTCTTTTAATATAAAATCTGCCAATTTATATCATAATTTATTTTAAATCCAGTGAATAGTGGCTTTGAAAATAACAGCTGTACCTAGCCCTGTATTTTCAGAAACTCTACTTTGGGGAATTTTCCCTTCAGATATCCTGCATGCACAGGAAACACTCAATGTATAAAGCCATCCATTGTGGCACTCCTGTAATAACAAAAGATTGGAAACAATTCAAATGTCCATTAAAAGGAGACGAAATAAACCGTGGTACATCCACACAAAATACTGTGATGCCTAAAAAATGAGGGTCTTTTCTTATAAGGTAATATGGACGTGTGTCTAATGTATAGCAAAGCAAAGTTGAAAACAGTGTGTATAAGAAGCCAAGATATGTTTTTTGTTTTTTTAAAAAAGAGGAGTGAAACAACAATCTATATTTACAGTTGGTTGGATATGCTATCAACAAGCAGAAAAAATGGAAAAGATGAACAGGGAGCCAGGCTGGGTGGGAGACTTCCTACTGGATGATTTCTTAGACATTTTGGGTTACACACTATGTGAAAAGGTTTGGTTTTTTTTTTCCCCTCCAAACATACACCTGTGAAAACAATAGCAGTTGCAATGGAATAGGCAGACGATTTAAGAGACCAGAATTCAGATAATTTGACTTCTAGCTTGGGGTTCCTACAGCTACGTTATGTAGCTTCCTTTGCCAGGTTAAAATGATAAGTCTTGATACAATTCAATTCCATTTAAACCAACTTTATTGAGTGCATGCACTATAAAAGTACCTGGGGAGGGGGACAAGGGCATCCAGATGTACAGCTCCTGGGCTTAAACTTCTCACCCGGCATTTAGGAGGACATGACACATATCCACGAAACAAGAGGACAGCAATTTTTGGCAAACACACAAGTAAGCACAAGAAAAGGTGGCACAAAAAACATTCACACCTGATGGTACACGCACAGTGTTTTTTTTCCCCATAGAAACCTCTCCCATTTATTAACTCAACAATATAATCAAAGTAAGATGAGGATTAATACTTTTGTATTTGACTTCTTAAGGCGTGCATAAGATAAGACATCCTAGTATTATATGTATTACCTGTTAATGTTTCATCTCTTCCTGTTAAATGTCTATAAAATAGAACCAAGTCGACTCTATAAATGACACACACAATCACCAGGCACACTACTGCCACCGAGACCAAAACAGCTACAATCATTCCTCCCGTGAAGATATGGCCTGGAATATCCACATTTTCTAGGAAAGAAAGAGAAAAAGAAAAAGGAAATAATTAATCAAAGAGACCCCACCAGTGTCTTCCCATCATTGCATTGTGCTTGTCAGTTTTTACCCTTAACACAAATCCATTTGTCACCCAAACACTGACATGTTCCACTGAGAGAATTCACAATCCTGCTTTTAGTCTCAAATAGTGATCTTTGTACTCCAGCTACTTGGAAGGCTGAGGCGGAAGGATCGCTGGAGCCCAGCAGGTCGAGGCTGCGGTGGCTGGGAGCAGCCACTGCACTCCAGTCTGGGTGACGGAGTGAGACTCCAACTCAAAAAAAAAAAAAAATTTTTTTACATAAAGATGTGTACAAGGATATCCAGAGACCTGAGCTGAAAACACTGTACAGCAATGTAGTCTATCCGTACCTATGAAAATCAGCTTTCTGGGGTGATAAGATACGAGGCTGAAATACAGAGTGACTCACACATACATCTCAGCTAGCAAATTGAGAACATAAACAGAGGTACATAGTTTTGCACTGGACTAACATTGTTTGGGTTTGCAGCCTGGCTCTATCAATTATTTTGTATCATAGGAAAAATCATGGATGACCCTAAACTTTAGTAATCTTCATCTGTAAAATGAAGATAATAACAGTTCCTATTTTACTTACAGGGTAGCCGCTTTGAGGAAGAATAAATGCAATATTACACATAAAGTAACTAATACAGTGCCTGGCCACACAGCTCTGAGAATTTTAGTAAATTTTTTGTATAAAAGTGCCCTTTGGTAAAGAAAAATTATATTTCTTAGATTGATTCCGTTTATGCTCATGGACAATATATGATAGTAAAAAAGAATACAGTAACTTTTCTTTTTTGAGTCAGCGTCTCACTGACAACCAGGTTTGAGTACAGTGGCAACATTACGGCTTACTGCGGCCTCGACCTTCTGGGCTCAGGTGATCCTCCCAACTCAGCCTCCTGAGTAGCTGGAACTACAGGTACACATCATCACACCCAGCTATTTTTAAAATTTTTTCATAGAGATGTGGTCTTGCCATATTGCCTAGACTGGTCTAGAACTCCTGGGCTCAAGCAACCTCTACCTTATCCTCCCAAAGTTTCTGGAATTGCAGGCATGAGCTACTGCACTCAGCCTAAGAAAACAGTAATATTTAGTAACCATCCTACAAGGTGGAGAAAGCCAGGCTAACATGACAGTATATTTTCTTCTGGGTTTTCTTTTTGTCCCTGAACGTTTTTACTTCATTGAAATCATGGGGTAATCACTCTTTATTTTTTTAACAATGTATTATGATCATTTTACTATGTCACTAAAATTATAATTCCTAATATTCAATATTTAGATTGAATGCAATTTTTTCAAAAGTGTACATAAGCCTGCACTAAAATATGCATATATATTTATCCGTATTTCTGATTTTCTTCTTAGAAGAGAGTCTAATGGCAGGTGGATTTCTATGTCAAAAAGTATAAAGATGCTTAAAGCTTTCCCTGTCTTAGATGGCAAATTTTTAGGGATTAAAATTACATAGCAGATGCAGGTAAGCATCCAAGGTTACTTAATAAGTGAATTCTGAACAGAGCCAGGCCCTGGGGCTCCCATATCTTTGTAAGGTCTGCACAGTCATGACTACACCACACACATACACAAACACACACATGCACACCAGCACACAATCCCTCCAGGAGTAATGGTGGGTTGTAAGTCCTTATTCCTCAGCCTACACTTGTGAGCAGAGCAGAAGGAGAACTGACCAAGCAGAAGCTTCTAGGCCAGGAATAGGACAGTCTTGCCCTGCTCTAGGAAGGGAGAAACGGTTGGTGACAAGAAGCCACCAGGAAACCCAGGCGAGGCCACGGATCCAACAAAAACAGCAGATTTGAAAGCATCTCTCTCACAAATACATGAGCCACAGCACAGGCATTCATGTGAGAGTGGGCAGACACCTGAGATGTCACTGGTGAGACCATAGATTTTAGCAGTCATCAGGTCTTCTGCGTTTCAGTATCTGTGTGGGCTGTGTGACCCTGGGCGAGTTTATTCTCTTATAAAAGACTGTTGTTCAGATTGGACGAAATCATGGGAAGAGCTTAGTACAGTCATGGAATGTTACTGTTATGATTGCGTATGGTGGCAGGATGGCTCTAAAACATGAACCAGGTGAGCTACCAGTGGGTACCAGGATAACACAGCTAGAGACGGTGGCTTCCAGCCTTCAGGCTTTCAGCTCCACTCTTTCCATCTCACCAAAGCCAAGGAACGGTCATCGTGTGTGTATGTGTGGTTCTCTCTGTGTGTTTCATCTCTATCTCCCCCTCCCCCCTACCCTGTCTCTTGCTCTGTGTATGTGTGTGTGTGTCTCACTCCCTCTTGCTCTGTTTTTCTCTCTCATTTCTTTGTATTTCTTCATGTCTTTTCCTCTGTCTCCCTCTCTCCCTATTCCTCTTTCTGTCTCTGTATGTGTCTCTTTCTGTTTCTCTCTCATTTCTGTCTGTTTCCCTGTCTTTCTCTTCGTTGTCTCTGTCTCCCTATAGTCCTCTCTGTTTCTGTCTTCTCTCTGTGTGTGTATCTCTCCTGATCCCCTCCCTCTGTCTCACTTGGTGTCTGCCTCTCCCTCTCTCTGTCTGTTTGCCTTTGTCTCTGCCTCTCTCCTTTTCACTCTGTCTTGCAGATCCTGGCCTTTCCCCACACATCTGGAGGATCTGATGGTGAATACTGGAAATGAACAGTGAATGAACAGTGACAACTGGAAGGATAGCTTGTTGACCCTCTACACAGTAATTTCTGTGCAATGGCACTGGATCGTGCTGTTTTAGGAAGATGAAGATAGGCAACCCTGGGACCCTCCATCAGGTGGGCACTGAGAAACTTTAAGAGCCCACAGACTAGGGCCATCAACTGCCCACCTGCCAACTGTAGCAGCTGGCCCAGGAAGGAGGCCACAGTTACGCCCTGTTCAATAAATGGCCACACCCAAGGGTCCCTGCACATAGTATCCTGCTAAATAAGGTTGGAAGTGGTGATTATGTCCAGTACTCACTGTGCTCACCCTACACAGATCTGCAAACCTCCCTCTGGAAGCTCTGGGTGTGCAGGGTTGGGTGTGCAGGGGTCTCCCTGGAGCACCCCCTTCCAGCATCTACATTCCTAAGCTTCTTCTGCCTCTCTGCTCTGGCCCCTAGATTTCTACAAATGATTGGAATATGACTGTGGGAGCAAATGAATACATTCTGTGTTTTTATTCTCTGCTTGGAATCATGAAACAGAGGATCTCATCAAGGCTGAGTGCCAGTCTTGCCATTGAAGGCTTGTGCTGCACGGTGACTCATTCCACCTCTCAGGATCTGGGTTCTGGTGTGGAAAATGAGGCGGTGATGACCTTTGAGGGAACTCTGGCAGCAACATGGTCAGCTTCCACAATACACCAAAAGCAAAACTTGCATACCTTTTTTCAACAAGATGAACTGTTTAGTGTCTATGTTTGCCAAGTTGTACACAGAGCAACTATAGGAAACATTTAGATTATTTTCATTAACATTCACAATTCTCAATATGCTTGAAAGCTGCCACTTGCCTTCTGAAGTCCTGCAAGAGAGGAAAATAATTTAGCAATAGGCTTTGCTCATTACCAGCAGAACTGCCCATAAGAGAGGAATCTATATGTTAAAATATTCAAAGACAGCTATTAAGTTGGCTACAGTTTACCTTCCCTTTCTGGTGGTTACTTTTAAAGCGTGGACTGCAATAAACCCCCTAATCCTCTGTGGAACAACAAAACTAATAGAAACAGCCCTCCTGAGACCACCTGGGGACAGGGCTGTCAACTACCTAGAATAAAAATGCCAGGAAGATAAGATGCTAAGTTGAAAATACAAGGAAATGATCTCTCAATTATTTCGTTCTATTTCTCCCCTCCTAACTCCTTGTTCTTCCCAAAGAGAAGAACTAATTGTGCCAAGGCTATAAATTATTTAGTATAGGTACAGATTCACATCAACTTTGTTCATACAATTCTATAGATTACTTTTATTTTTTTAAGTATTAAACACACACACACACACACACACACACACACACACACACACTCCTTAGACACCCCCAGGCACATGAGAAGTACCAGTCAAGCTGTTTAGTATGGGTCAGAAAATGACTTGAGACAACCGCTGGCAGCAAGCTCTCTTCTTTCTCAAAGGATTCAAGTTGTCCTGGGGTTGATGCAGGCCAAATGCTCATGACATCTGCTTCCCCCACCAGCAACAGGCTCTGAGGGGCTACACCAGTCAGCATTCCTAGGCGTGGCACCCACACGCCTATGTACCTAGCAACAGGTGTCTCCAGAACACAGGACATTGCAGCCTCTCACTCTCAGATATATTTTTAGAACACCATTCTATACAGGTGTTAAACATCCAGAAATATCAACCATCTAAAACCATGAAAATCCAAGGGTAAGACACAAAAGGCCACTGAGAAGTCAAAACAGATGACAGAAGAAGCGTGTGCACCAAATTATAAAGAAAGAATTTCCTGCTCTTACAGCCCAAGCTCCACTTCTAAGAAGTTCAGTGATCTGGTCTCCTTTCCCTCTAAAGATTAGAAAGAAACCTTTAGAAGGGAGAAATGCAAAACTGTAATCAAGGTCAGTTGCTGAGGATAAGATACGCTTGCAGGAGAGTCACTCAATTTAGCTGTATTCAACATTTATTGGGTCATAAGTCACGTGCCTATATCTGATATACATAGTTTTGTAGGCATGTGTTAGCAAAAATGGAGAGCTGCTGACATAGTGACAAAGAATATACCAAAAAATGGTGAAAAGCAGTAAAAAAAAACCCTCAACAATTGCAGGTAAAATGCTAGACACCTTAGGATCACCACTCATTAGACCCTTTAGGCTATCAGTATAATAACTAATAATTACAGTATGACCCAGAGTCATCTAGAAAAGTTAAAATGACAATGTGTGTAGTATGTTTTGTTTTAATAAGTTTAGTCATTTCTTAATGGAAGAATATAGGCTATTTCAGTATCAATATGCATATCATTTCAAATGATTTTTGCACATTAGTAAAAATAAAACACAACACATTTTACAAAATCCAGAAAAACCATAGTCTGTGTAATTGCTCTTTTGTAAGAAGTTAGGTAAAAATCTGCATCCTCATTAGAGCCTAACTAAAAGCTACTTTTATAAGTCTCTTTTTCTAACTTAGGTCTTGGCAATACATTTCTGCCGAATTCATCAACCTGGAGCATGGTTATTGTAATTATAAAACACATATATTACAATTATAATTTAAATGAACCCCAAACCCCACCTCAGCCTCTCAGAAGTACAGCATTTTACATCATGTATATCATGATACATATCATATATCACATATACATACCTACTTTTCACTGTTTTTTCTTCATGTGGATTTTTTGGGAGGTAGTCCCAACAAATGGAATCCCCTTCATTCCCCAAAGCAGAGCAGTTGAGTTGTACATCTTTTCCTGGGTAAAAGTTGACAAGCAAAGTTTTGATTTTAGAAACACAGGTTTCCCAAAGATTTCAAATGAATATAATCAATGTATGTTTAGCCTAATACAAAGCATGGTGCTGCATCTCAGAAAGAGAACAGATATGCTCTGTTTTATAATTTTAGCAAAATTATAAAGCAGAGGAGTTAGGTAGCAATCACAAGCCATCACCACAATATGAATTGACTTCTCTTTAAATGTTTACTTTAGAACCAATTGCTAAAATGTAGGGTGACCAGTGTACTATCTTTAAAGAATGCAATATAATAGGTAGTATCAGGTCAACACTCTCACTGCAACTTCTAGATAAACCAAATGGATAAATCACAAAGAAATAAATTAACTAAACATTAAAAACACCTAAGTGCAGGGAAAACAAATAGTTGAACTAAATCTATAGTCAGGAAAGATCCCCTGCAGGGTGAGTTGAGATACCCAACCATTTTATTCCATGGAGGAATATTTTGGTTTGGAATAAACAGAAAAACTCTCATGGCAACAAGAGAATCCAGAGAAGCTCTTGACAGCTGCACAGACTTGTGGTATTATTGCTAAAGGCTTGGGCAGCCAGAGGGCTTCAAAAGCTGAATGATATAACCTTCAGTTTCAGTGTTCAGGAAAGCAAGTCCCATGAGAGGAAAAGCCCTGCAACAAACACGTACCTGCAGCACCCTCATCCCCACTAGCTATCAGAGAGGAAAGGCAGACTGCATTTAACACACCATCCCAGCCTCTCCAGCTCAGTTCTCAGTGGACTGAGGTACTCAAAACCCTCACACTGCCTACCTGACAGAGGAGAGAGCACACACTTATAGGGAAAAACAATACAAACTTCATTCACTTTAGTTGTTTGATACAAAAAGATCAGTAAGAGTAAAAAATTAAGAGACACACAAAAAGGTAGAAAATAGTCGACAAGAATCAGTAGAAGAAAATAGATAATAGAAGCAGATCCACAGATGATCCGGATGCTGGATTTAGCAGATAAAGACTTTGAATAACTATTTTTTTAAAAATAAAGAAAAGGAGACAAATGGATGAAAAGATCTTCATTTTCAACAGAAGAACATAATCTATTTTTTTAAAGCAAATGTTTTATATTGTGTATATATGATATAACCACCCATATCAGCACTTATTAACTATAGATGAAGTAAACAGTAAACTGACTAGATTTCAAGGAGATGCAGTTTATGTGAGACACTTTATGAACAAAGGCAAAGAAATGTTAAGAGTAAAATGTTGTTGAAAAATATGCCAGTCCCAAATAAAAGAAAACTGCTATGTCTATTTCATAGCAGAGAGTATAGGGATTGAGAAAGGAATATTATGACAGATAGAGATATTTTATGATGATAAAAGTGTTAATTCAACAGGCATAAATTTGTATGAGCCCATAAGATAGCAACCTACCAAAAGCAAAAATCGACAGAACTAAAGAAAACATAGACAAATTGGTCATAACGGTTGGAGATATTAACACCTCTCTCTCATCAACAGAGAAGAGTCAACACATAAAAAATTAGCAAGGATAGAAATGAGCTAAACAATATCATTAACCAAGGTGACCTAATTAACATTTAAAGAATGAGACAACCAAAAGCTGCAGAATCCATCTGCATTTCAAATGCACTTGGAACATTCATCAAGACATACCACATTCTGGGCCTTAAGCAAGTCATCACAAATTTCAAAGGGTTGAAATGACAGTGTGTGCTTTTGTACCATAATGAAACTAAACTGAACATCAGTAGCAGAAAACGGCTAGAAAAATCCTCCAAATATTTGAAAATTAAGAAACACAAATAATTCATGGGTGAAAGAAGTCGCAAAGAATATATTATGAAATGGTTTGACGTGAATAGCATGAAAATATGGCATACCAAGACTTGTTGGAAACAGCTGAAGTTGTGCTTAGGTGAAAATTTAGAACTTAAATGGATGCACTATAAGAGAGCATAAGTGCAATTACTTTTCTAAGTCTCCAGTGAACAAACTAGAAAAAAATTTTGAAAATTAAGTCCAAAAATGAGTAGAAGAAAATAATTAATTACAGATAAGAATAGAAATCAATAAAATTATGAAGCAAGCAAACTTCAAGTACAAATGGCATTGTACAAGAGCTGCACTAGGCGTACATGGTCATAGTAACCGTGACTCCGGCTATGTTTATAAGGTGAGGACTTTAGAAGCAATGGGCACAGAGACAAAACCCAGCCCTATCACTTTTCAATGACTTAACTTTAGACAACTTACTTACCTTTCTGTGCTTCAGTTATTTAATCTATAAAATGGAGATAACACCACTCAGAGCTGCTTGGAGGATTTAATTCATGATATATTTTACTCACCTAGCACAATACCTGGTTGTGCATATTTAGCATATGTGAATTTCTTTCTTTCCTTTCCCTTTTCAAAGAAATTACTCAGTTGGACTTGTTGATTCATGAGACCTATCCAGACAAATCTTAAATGTACAGTCAACGCAGTAGATCGATTCAAAGTGAATCAATTAATCAAATACTCAAAACAAAATAAGTTTGAATCTTCTCTCCAGAGTGCTCTCACTGAGTTTCCATAGTTAGAAACAATCATAGAGACAATTAGAGAAAAATCACATACAGGATGACAAAATTATTCATCAACAAATCACAGGCAGTTCCAGTGTCTCTTGAACAGATTGTTCATTTTAGTCAGTTGAAACGTGGCAGCAAACAATGAGACATGTTTTCTGGTTTTGCAATGTTCTTCACTAAAGACAGAATGTGCTGTGCACCCATTGTTGTTCAATAATGAATCAGATTTACTCTTGAAAGACTCAATATGCCCCCTATTCATAAATGCAGAATATATAGATACAGGAAATATACCTAATTCCACTTCAACATAGTCAGGCTTTGGTCCAAGAATAACTGGAACTATAGTACTGTGATCTAAAAGTGAAAATAAAAGAAAGGCATTAGCGTGACCTGGAGTCTCACCACGACAAACATCTAAAACAATATGCTAATTCCTGTAACAAAAATTTGAATAGTCATGGCTTTAGGTTTACTGGAGTCATGTTTTCATTTACTAAAGGGCACACAGCTCATAGTGTTTGTGGCTTCATTTTGCCTCGACTCCATGCTCACAGAGCTGTGGAAAGTACTTCAAATCTGGTTTTCTCTCCAATCAGTCTGCACTCCTGCTCACCTCTGCTCAAAGGGAAAAAACAATGCCCATCCAGGGGGACTGCAGCCAGATCCCTGAGATGACCAGACTTGCAGGACTCAAGAGTATGCAAAGTCACTGGGCAGGGCCTCGAGTCCCTCCATCTGACCTCCCCAGCTCCTCACAGATAGATTTTCAGGATGCAGGACCAAAACAGGGCGAGACAAGTATGGCCCTCGTTCTCTGGTATTGGCTCTTCCCTTGCAAGACGCTGAGAGGTGCGTCACTTCAATACTATGCCCCATTTGACTCATCTCCCGGCCCTGCTGGTGCATCCACACCTACAGACCCTTCTGTTCCTGGGTGCCATCTGACCCCGACTAAGGTACTGTCCATAAATATTCTCCCTGCCCCGCCCCGTCCCCATTCAGTGACGTGTAGGGAGAAAACCATCCCCCAGCAGCCTCCCACCAAATGCAGCCTAAAGCAGCTCCTGACTATTCAACACTGATAGCAACAGTGGCCACAGATTTAAACTGGTACATAGTTATCATGAGCCTTGGTGTCGGCACTGATAACTTTCCTCGTGACCTGCACTTCCCCCTTCTAGTACCCCCGGGGCTTCTGCAGCACGTCCAAGCAATGTCCAGAGCAGCCCCCTGGAGTTTACAGGTGCGCAGCAAGCAGAATGCCGGGTCACAGGGAGCACAGCGTGACTCCGGAGTGCTCCCGCCACATCCACACCTCCCTGAACTCTCCTAGAAAGTGCAGAGCTGCAGAGTGAGGGGTGGAGAAGACAGGGGGTGGGAGATCTCTGGGCCAGAACGGGAAAATGAAACCAGCACGTCGAAAACCCAGGTTGAGAGTCAGGCCTGGGTTCTCCAGGACTCAGACTCTCTAGGCAAGCTTGCGGTGCTGGTAAACAGGCAGGAGGAGACCAGTTGCAGACAGGGAAACACTAACTCTCAGGTGTAAGGGCGAAGCAACATGGGCTTGCTTCAAGGACACGTAATGGAAAAAATGGTGACTAGCAACCTTTCTTTGGCTCCTTTTTTTTTTTTCCTTCCCTCAGTAACTTACATGAGAGACCCGGAAAAAGGCAGTGTGAAGTACATCTTCAGTAAAAGACTTCTTTAGTAAATGATGCTGTCTACTAACACTCAAATTGTATCACTGGAAACCCAGACCAGCACTGGGCTTGTACAGCTGGTGTCATGTGAAGGGTAGGGTCCCACTGAAGTAACGGGAGGAAGACAACAACTCAGCGTAGGTACCCAGCATGACTAGTCTACCTATGACCCTAGCATCAGAGTTAAAATGGTGCAGAGGCCGGGCTCGGTGGCTCAGCCTGTCATCCCGCACCTTGGGAGGCTGAGGTGAGTGGATGGCCTGAGCCCGCAGGTTCGAGACCTGCCTGGGCAACCTGGTGAGACCTCATCTCTACAATAAATCAAAAATCAGCTGGGCGTGATAGTGCGCGCCTGTAATTCCGGCTACTCGGAAGGCTGAGGTGGAAGGATCGCTGGAGCTCAGCGGGTCGAGGCTGCAGTGGCCGGGAGCAGCCACTGCACTCCAGTTTGGGTGACAGAGTGAGACTCCAACTCAAAAAAAAAAAAAATGGCACAGAGATTGCGGCAGCAGGAGGAGATGTCACCAGATCAGCCAGAGCATGAAACAGAAAAATGGCAGATGCCAGGTGGGAGGCCAGAGGACGATGAGCACATGGCAGATGCCAGAGGACCATGAGCATATGGTGCTGGGGCTCGGGAAACAACACCCCAAAGTACAGCGGCCGAGTGCGTGGAATCACAGGATGCAGGAAGACCTCAGAAGCAGGCCTCAAAACCAAGACTCTGTGACCTTCTGCTTCTCCTCCTGTTTCTCACCCCTTATTCTCCCCCAAAGAAACCTGTCACAGAAACCATACTTCCTGTTCCCTGAGTAGGTCACAGAAACTATTTACAGAACTCTTTTGCCCAAAGCAAGCCATAAAACCCAGAAATGTTATTCTGGTCTTCCCCTAACTTTGTCTAGGAATTGGGTATAAATAAATTCTCTGACCTACCCTTGTCTGAAAGTAGGGTCGTAAGACCCTCATTCCAGAGGGGTCCCACTGCTACCTGGGAAAAAAAAAATACCACAACAATGAAGCCAAGAAGAATCTGAAGAGATGGGCCTTTCTGGGTTCCCCCTCAGTCTATTAGCATTAGGTCATACCCTTTTGTCAAAGCACATTTCTACATGGCTGCCCACGCTTCATAGAACCTAAGTATAAAAACAAACAGGTTTTCCTGGGTCTTTGTTTCTGAAGGCACTCATGTCACATAAAACTTTTATTTTATTTTTTTGAGTTGAGGTCTCATTCTGTCACCCAGGCTGGAGTGCAGTGGCACGATCACGGCTCACCACAGCTTTGAACTCCTGGGCTCAAGCAATTCTTCCGGCTCAGCCTCTGCAGTAGCCGGGACTACAGGCACATGCCACTTCGCACAGCTCATTTTTTGACTTTTTGCAGAAATGAGGTCTCTCTATGTCGCCTAAACTGGTCTTGAACTTCTGGCCTCAAGCAATCCTTTCGGAAGTTGAGAGGTCTAAGTCCATGACCTCAGATAGACTATACTAGTCAACATAGAGAAGGTGGGAACTCAGAGCCCCTCTGTCCTCAGCGCAGGTCAGAAAATCTCCTGACTATCAATTTCCATTCCAAGCTCTATTTTAGTAGACTGGTGGCAAACTTTACCAAATCTAAATAAAAATGGCCGGGATGATGAAAAGCCCAGACTTGTTACATGGGGCATCACTGAAGGAACTGTTGCTGTCTCAACAATTCATACATCAGACAGGTAATGAGCACCTACTGTGCACCAAGTGACAGTCGCAGGAATGCAAGATGCAGAGATGAAGAGGAGAACTCATTCCAAGCCCTCTCTCCAGAAACTTCTGAGGTTGCTGGCAGAGGCACATACGGAATCCAGTTCTGATCATCACAAAGAAGAGGCCACAGGCACATAGATAGGGAGGGACATCTGAGTGGAGTCCTGAAAGACTCCGTTGGCAAGGCGAGGACATTCAGATGGGTGGTTCGGGCAGAAAAATAGCCTGTTGGGTTGCTGGGGCTGTGGGAACGAGGCAGTGGGAGAGGGTCGTCACAGCAGCGCTCGCCCTGGCACTGGCACCATCCTCGAGCTTTTGTCACACCCACTCGGCCCTCGGGCCAACCCTGCGAGCAGTGAGCCACTACTGGCCCATTTTTCTAATAAGTAATCTGAGGTGGAGAGAAACGAAGTAATTTTACTTGCCCAAGGTCACAACCTCACAGAGCTGTTAAGAGATGATAGGAGATGATTTGACTCCTACTTGGCCATAGAAAGTGCAGCCCTGGCCCGTCGAAAGTGCAGTTGGATGTTCTTATTGCCTCTTCCAAAAAAGGAAGAAAAGAGTTGCTGATGGACTGAAAACAAAGATGGATGAGCAAGATACCGAAGGCACTGAAAGTATCCAAGGGCCAGAGATTTATATGAAATAAAAGATATATGGTTGTATTCATATATGTATATATGCATACACAGACATACATAAAAGAAAAGCTGGATAATTTAGGGTAGATGATTATATAGAGAATTTAAGTTTTTGAGTTTAAGATGTCAGTTATGGGATTCCCAGGTTCTGGGCTGTGGCAGGCAGAATAACAACCCCCAAAGTTTTCCACATCCTAACCCTCAGACCCTATGAAAACGTTATGTTACACGGCAAAGGGGAATTTACATATGTGACTAACTTTAGGATCTTGAGATAGGGAGACTATCCTGGTTTATCTGGGTGGGACCAATTAGTCATAAGAGTCCTCCTTAGAAGGAGATAGAAGGGTCAAGGTCAGAGGGAGATGTGATGATGGAGATAAAGGAGAGAGAGAGAGAGAGAGAGAGAGAGAGAGAGAGAGAGAGACTGACTACACGGTTGACTCTGAAGATGAAGTGGCACAAGTCAAGAAATGCAGGTGGCCTCAAGAAGTCTGAAAAAGCCAAAAGAATGCATTCTCCCCTAGAGCCTCCAGAAGTAAAGCAATCCTGCCAAAACCTTGATTTATACGAGGACACTAAGCTTGGGGTTACAGCTACAGGCCCACATATTGCTTCTGTGACCAATGACGCCAAAATTAGTGTTCAGTTTAGGAGTTGAAGTGAAAAGGAAAAACGCTGCTAAAGCCAAGGTGAACTGTGAGCCCACAGGTTTTGCTGAATGAGTCATCATGTGGGTTTTAGAGTTTCCCAGGACGACCAAAAAAAAAAAAAAAAGAAAGAAAGAAAGCCTAGAGTAGATAAATCACCTGTCTTCAAATAATCGAAGGCACTAACATTTTTAAGGAGCCAGACTTAACCTGTGAAGTTGTGGACTCAGTGGGAAAAAAAAAAAAAAAAGGCTTTTAAACAATCAGATATTACAATCCGGACTAAGTTGCTGTGCCACTTAGTAAGTTTCTTGGTAATTCTCAAGAAGGGACCGGATGATCAATTACTGGCTGTGCATATGAGGGAATTCTTCACCGGGTGAGGTTTAATTCAATCTCTTAAAGAACTCAGGCTTCTGTTTTCCATCAGCCACAGTTTGGGTCCATGACACACCAGACTATTGGCATCCTCCTCTTCACACCACCACACCTGTGTCCCTTACACTCTCCTGACCAGAACCCTGTCCCCAGCGTGTCCTTCGCGACACTCACCCTCCAAGACCAAGGTCAAAGGGAGCCTCCTGCAGCTGTCCTTCCTCCAACTTCCCCCCACACTCCTGGCCTCACAGATGATGCTGTTTCATAGGATGGCACCCCAGTTAGCTCATTACCCCTCCTGGGTATAATCACATTTCCTGGCTATCATAATCAAGTTACTCTCTTCATTTCTTATTTCTTTGCATCTCGTACCTTCCAGGACTAAGTGCAGTTTATTGTATACATATATCCTCAATAAATGCTTGTTGAGTGAAAATGTAAGTTTAACAACAAAAGATTCCACAATTTACTCAAATTCCAAGTAAAAGAGAGCTGACTCATGTGAGGTTATTTCATATAAACTTCCTTTTGCTGCCAAAAAAACAAACATTTTCTTTTTCTTTCTTTTTGCCAGGTAAATGAGCTGAAGTGAAGGTTTTTATCCTTATTCATGACCTAGTGGTGTGGTCACAATCCCATAAAAGTTGTTTCTCGATTCCTACACAGCTTTTAGAAGAAAACATTTTGTTCTATTAAAATACATTTGCTTCTTCCCAATTCTAAGATTTCTCTGACCTTTGACTATAGTTACATTGTGGGTTTTGGTGAGGTTAAATAGTTTTCCATTATGATGAAGGGAAAACACACAGGAGTAATAGCCCTGATCTTCCAACTTGGCATTCTTGCTTATCGATGAATCCGAGAGTGGCTTTTCACAGTCCTGATTTTAAGAAAGCAAGTAAAAATACTTTTAAAAAGCCATATTCATGTCACAACTATTCAAACTTTTAAAGTTAACGGCATTCGGAGAAATGGAGAGACAGAATGGAAACCAGGGATTCCTGAGTAAAGGCCCCAATGATATGACACTCTTCCACTGAAACAGTGAAATGCAGCTCCTTTGCCGTCATAACCATCATCATTAGACCATGGGCTGAGAAGTTGAGCACCGGGCCAACATGGGCGCTGGAGCTTTCACCATGTCCCTTTAATCTCTCTTTTACACACACACACACACACACACACACACACACACACACACACACACACCCCGAGACAGAGAGAGAGAGAGATGGAAACAGAGACAGAGACAGAGAGACAGAGAGAACACTATATCAAAAATCCCCGCTTGGGTCTCAACTCTATTTCATACACTTTCAGTCCAATTCTAGGCACCCAGGACGATATATATTCTGGAGATGGGTAGTGGGGTGTGAGCAGAATTACTCAGAAACTGGATGCCTAGCAGGTTTCCCACCCACCTCAACGTCTCCACCAGAGGCTGGTGGTCTGATTAGAAAAGCATTAAGAATGTTCAGATTCGCCAGGCTCAGTAGCTCAGCCTGTAATCCCGCACCTTTGGGAGGCTGCGGTAAGTGGATTGCCTGAGCCTGCGGGTTCGAGACCCGACTGGGCAGCTTGGCGAGACCTCATCTGTACAATAAATCAAAAATCCGCCAAGCGTGGTAGCACGCTCCTGTAATTCCGGCTACTCGGAAGGCTGAGGCAGAAGGATCGCCGGAGCCCAGCAGGTCGAGGCTGCGGTGGCCGGGAGTGGCGACTGCACTCCAGTCTGGGGGACAGAGTGAGACTCCAACTCAAAAAAAAAAAAAAAGAATATTCAAATCCAGAGGCACACTGGAGCGTCTTCTCTGACACACACATCTCTGTACATGTCCCAGGAATTAATAATAATTGTAATAAGTAAAGTCACCCTCTTAAATCGAGCCCATCAGTCACCCACAGAGGCCTTGAGGCAGTACATGGAACAGGTGGGAGAGACTGGATCTGAATGGCTGTCCTTGACCATTGACTACTGTTCCTGCTAATATCGCATAAGGAGAACCTACTGCCCACAGACTTCTCCCTCAAAGCTGGGAACCACTGAGCTAGAACCACGGTGTCTAGAATGAGCCCTCAAAGCACCTACATGTGCACCTCACATCCGTAAACTGTTAACGTATCAGCCCAATTTTTATAAAGCCAAACTGATTTTTTCCAAAACATAGAAAATATCAGAGACTCTTCATTTTCATTTCCAATTGTTTACTGATTTAGCTTCCTTGTCCCTTCCTCTTAAGTAGGTCAAGATCAGACTACCGGCTTAAAATACTTAGCCCTGCGGTCAGTTGTTTAGCTATAACTATCTCTGGTGCATCTATTTTCTAAATTTAAATATCTGGATATGGGGATTTCCCAAAACACACTAATTATATGTGCTGTAAACATTTGCATATTTGACCAAAAATGAGTCAAGTAGACTCAGAACTGACTCAAATGTTTACAAAACATCTCAGGTAAGAGGTCTGGAAAAATCACAAGTAAACAGTGTTCAAGCAAGAAGTACAAACAAAAGTTTCAGAGAAATCATTATCAGTTGCTTCCATTTTCCCAAGTTCTGTTCAGACCACTGTCTGTTACAGGTCCCCAAAATTTCCATGACAGAGTTATAGCATACAGATTTGCTTTTCTACAGAAATTATATAATTATATAATTTTGTGTTTTGTATGGGCATGGTTGTGAGAGTATGTTTTTATACACATGCTGTACACACACACACACACACACACACACACACACACACACGTACATATAATCTCCACAGCATTGTCTAAAAGAGCTCTTACAATTCAACAAGTATAAGGTACACCAATTGAAAAAAAAACAGAGAAAACAAACAGGCAATCTACAAAAGAATAGTAAAATACAATAAATCTATATAAAACTTTAATTTATTAAGAAAAGAAATAAAAATAAAACAACTAGAAATTTTAATGTCAGAAATTTTCAATGTCAGATGTTTGAACATTCTAGAACGTATGGGAGCTTTTCTCTCCTCAATAAATCCTGCTTTCTTAAAAAAAAAAAACCAGCAAAGCTCCCTGGAGGCTTGTTTGATAAAGTCAATCAAAAGCCACATAAACATGCTCATGGCCTTGGATCCAACAATTCTAAATTAGGGATTTGGTTGAGGAACTAATTGTATAAATACCCAAAGACTTACGGAACTAATATTCATGTTAGCCTTTAAATAATAATGAAAAAGAAAAAACTCAAAAATATCCAACATTAAGGGGATTAGTTAGATGAAATCAGGCCCATGCAAAAGGGAATCCCATGCTTGGAAGAAAGTATAGAGATGTGAGAGAATACTCACAATATAATGTTTAATGGGTAAAAGAAAGACACAAAAATAAGATAATCCACTTTTATTTTTAAGGCGGAATCTCACTCTGTCACCCGGCTGGAGTGCAGTGGCACCATCGTGGCTCATTGCAATCTTGACCTCCTGGACTCAGGTGATCCTCCCTCCTTAAGCTCTGGAATAGCTGGGACTACAGTCACGCACCGCCATGCGTGGTTATTTTTTAAAATTTTTGTAGAGACAAGGTCTGGTTATGTTGCTTAGGCTGGTCTCAAATTCCTGGGCTCAGGCAATTCTCCCATCTCACCTCCCAAAGTGCTGGGATTATAAATGTGAGCCACCATGCCCGGCCTATAAACCACTTTTTAAAAGCAGCTGTTTATACAGATAAAAAGAATGTGTTTTGCTGGTGGGATTATGAGTCATTTTTGCTTTCTTTATTATGTGTTTTTTCATCTTCCAATTTGATAAAATTAACTAATATATTCAGAAAAATATATGCAATAGAGTTTTAAATGTTAAGTATACATGACAGGAAAATGAAAATCCTTAAACTAGCATTCCTAAAACATAATTTTTTGGGGGGTTTTTTTTTTGGTTGTTTTTTTTTTTTTTTTTTGAGTTGGAGTCTCACTCTGTCGTCCAGACTGGAGTGCAGTGGCCGCTCCCGGCCACCGCAGCCTCGACCTGCTGGGCTCCAGCGATCCTTCTGCCTCAGCCTTCCAAGTAGCTGGAACCACAGACGCGCGCTACCATTTTTGATTTATTGGAGAAATGAGGTCTCGCCAAGTTGCCCAGGCGGGTCTGGATCCTGCAGGCTCAGGCAATCCACTCACCACGGCCTCCCAAAGCGCTGGGATTACAGGCTGAGCCACCGAGCCCGGCTAACATAATTTATTGAAAGAAAAGGAGAATGAAGGAAGGGCACAGTAGGGGAAGTCATGAACACTAATCCAGGGCAGCTACTGTGATACATACACTACATATCAGCTTTTTACAACAAGCCCGTGAAGTCACTTAGCTCAGATAGGTCAAGTGAGCTGTGTGGTGTCAGAAAGCTTTATGTTCTGAGGCCAAAACAGTAGCCATCAGCCTCTTATTTGGGAACTTAATCTTTTATATCAAATCTTAAGTTAAAATATTTTAAAAGCATACCTTAATCATAGATATGTTTTTCACCCGTTTCTCATAGTATGCATAGTATGCATCATTGCAAGATAACTGCAAAGATTTTCCAACTTCCACGCTTGTACTAGTTACTCGTTTTTCGCTAAAACAGCTGTGTTCATTTCTTCTGATGACACTTAAATTCCATGTCTTAGTATAAATTCTGTGAAATAAAGGTGAGTTTACTTTATAATTACTACAGAGACTTTGCAAGTACCACCCACTTTCCCTTTTATAAGTCCAATAAATATCCCCTTATTTTTGCATGAGGGAAAATATTTTTTCATCTTCCACTTTTTAAAAATGAACTAATATGTTCATTAAAATATATGCAATAGAGTGTAGACTCCATTTGCAATAAAGTTATGTGCATTAAAGAGACTGATTCACTGATGTCCAAACCCTGTTTCCTTTATTTAGAGCAGCAAGAGATTTAACAACTATTCAGGGAGGCAATGAATGAAAGACACACACACACACACACACACACACACACACACACACACACACACACACACCCTTCTGCAAGCCACACGTTACAGATGTCAGAAAAGCAAACGTTTTCAACATCACTGATCTTTGGTGATAGACAAATTCCCAGAGTCTTAATCCAGGATGAGAGGTTTCATGCAGTCTATAAACAAACTCCTCACATTGTTTTCTGAATGTGTGCGTGTATATTGGGTTTCATATCTCTCGTGGCAGTATTTGCAAATCCCCTTCTCTTACTATGGAGTAAACCAAAGTCTGCAGCCGCTGCCCTCAGCATAACTGTATTAGCACTTTAAATGCCTTATTAAACAAAAGTGAGTGTGAACAGATTTTACAGTTGTTCTTAATCTGGAAGAGGAAAAAATATTCACAATATTTTTTAAAGGAACTTTTAAAAGAGAAAACATTTGCAATCGGATGTTTGCTTACACCGCACCTGTGGTAGATAGATCCATACACTAAACAGAGCAGACACTTGTGGTGAAGTTGCTCTGTGTGTCTAACATAGGATGGAAGAAAAGTCCAGCACTTACCGAGTTTCAGGTATCGTAGCATGTATGTGCAAGCGAGATGACTCTTTGCCTTATTGCTCAGAGGAGAACACTAAATGTCGGAGAGGTTAAACAACCTGCCCAAGCCACACACTGTTGCAGGATAGGACCAGCAAATGCATGTCTCTTGGGTCCCAAAGGCCAGGAATGCTTTGCACGATACTGCACTTTCACAGCGCGTGTGAATCTGGCCCTTTACCTTGGGGCATAAGATGAGTCAGGGCTGGAGAGGGCAGCAAACTATTGTCACGGTTAAAGGTTCATAATAGACGGGCCCAGCTCTTGAAAAGGATCCAGAATAGCATCAGCAGCATCCTCTTCTCGTGTGTTTGTACTCTTCAGCCTCACTGAGCTGGAGAGAGACGTTTCCAGATCTCTCAGACCAGCTGCTTCCAGAAATGGGGTACATGAACACACCCATCACGTCAGAACCTGTTGTACTCTTCCTCTGCTATCCTCAATTCCTAACCCTCAACAAATACCCACGGACTGGTTACCCTCCATGTGCAGGGCACTGCACTGGGAATGCTGAAACAAGCAACTCAAGGCTCCTGACAGCAAGGAGCTCAGAGGTGGGTGTTATGCTACTGCCGACTGACCCAAACCTGTGACCATCCCTTTTCTGCTGGCCCCGGCCCCTCCTGCTGATGGCAGCCACTCACTTCGATCCACACACAAGGGACTGAGAGGCTCAAGCCCTCTCTTCCAAGGCCTCTCACCAAGCCAGACCTGCAGCCGTCAGCCTAGAATCTGACTATGAAATTTCTGCATGTGCTTGTCTCCCTACTTACATTTCTTCAACTCTGTCATGTATCTCCTTCCTTCCTAGTTGATTTCTTTCTTAAAATTTGATGGATGCTGGGTGTGGTGGCTCATGTCTATAATACCAGCACTGTGGAAGGCAGAGGCCAGAGGACTGCCTCTGCCCAGAGGTTTGAGACCTGCCTGGGCAATGTGGTGAGACCTCATCTCTACAAAAAAATTTTAAAAAAACAAAACTTAGCCAGGCGTGGTGGCGTGTGTAGTTCCAGCTACTTGGAAAGCTGAGGCAGAAGGATTACCTGAACCCAGCAGGTCGAGACTGCAGAAGCCATGACAGGGCCACTGTACTGGGCGACAAAGTGAGACTCCGAATAAAAAGAAAAAAACAATGTGACAAAAGTGATTTCCACTGCCTGATTACATGACAAGTCCCCAGAGGAGTTTGGTTACTAGCAATGGACTCCTAGAAAACTAAAGGATTATAGTTCAAAGGGGAGAACCCAGGTAGAGGGTCTGGTCACTGATGGATTCCACACCAAACTACAAATTCTTACTCACCTGAGTTGGTGTGCATGCACACACACACACACACACACACACACAAACACACACACAAATACACACACACATACACAGACACACACACTGTAGCAAACACAGGACACTGCTCACCAACTGCGCTATGTCTAAAGTTGTCTGTATCATATGGGCTCCCAGGTATCCAAACAACCTATTCCCACATAGAATTCAACTGCCTATCAAACCATTATCAAGCTTGCATCTCCCAGTCCTTTCACTCTCACAGTGATTGGTCTCCAGCATCCACCATGAGCCTGCTGATTTTTCTTGCTCTCTTCCTTCCGTTACCTGGTCTTTCCTCATCTCTCTGATATCCTACCTTAATTGGATGACTCCAATTTCCTTCCTAATCCAGGCTGTATTCTCAACCCTCCATGTCAAAAATATGCTGAATGCTCTTTGTCCCTGTCCCTGTCATCTCCAAGTGACAGTCACAGACAACTGGCTCTTCCCATCAGCATGCCCTCTCTGCCCTGTCCAGAACACTTTGCTCCTTTAAATCATGGCCTCATTCAATCAGGGGTAGAGAGGCCAGTTGTTTGTTCCTTTTCCTCTAGCCCTTGGTGAGTTCATTTTTCCTTAGCTTGCTATGAAACGACCCAGTTGTGACCCATTTCTGACTTAACTCTCTTAAAGGCTCACCAAAAATTTAATGTTTTTAAAAAAGAGTCCTTTCATTTCTTTCTGACTCTGGAAGTTCTTATATATAAAAGCAAACAGAAATGACCTCATGTTTTGCATGAGGAGTGCTATCAAGGTTTCCCTGTGATCTTGCACTCTGCTCTCAGAGGCATGATTGACAATGACCAAGACTCACTCTAGAAGCGCTTCTCAAAGGAATCTGCCACACTTGACAGCACACCGTCACCACACAGCTGGCCCTGAGCTATTCTCTGCAGACCACCCCCAAATCTTTACACAAAGATACACATATGTAGGTAGGTATGTGTCCAGTGAACCACATCCAACAGGAGTGGCTGGTGCTTCCAGCTAGTTGCTCTCATTTCACAGATGCCCTGCTTCCTGATTATGAGGATCCTGGCAGAATCAAGGGCCAAGTCATGGGCAGGGTGCAAAGCCCCTTTTGGGCTCCCCTCTCTAACTCCCCCCACTGTGGGGTTGTGACTGGTCGCCAGACACACCCACTCCACCAGTACTGCCACCTGGCTCCCAAGGCACCCCTGCACACGAGACACAGATATGTCTACCTCAACCCCATCTTGCTCCCCAGCCTGAAGACGTCCCCACGAAACTGACACAGCCTCCCTTTCCTGACGTCGTCATCCTTAGAACCCATTAATAATATGACGAAGTCTGAGTCATAGGTTTCATTTGTCTGTGGGATCTAGACAACAGGAGCTGCTGAATTCCGAAACTGACTTTCATTCAATCTTCTCTTATCATGGACAAGGATCCCACAAAAGGAAATCCTATCAACGAATTTCCTTTATTAAGATCGCTAAGAAAATTAACATAGGGAGATTTATTTTTTCAGTAACGAAGTACTGAGTGTTGTAGACAGTAGGGGAGAAAAAAACTGCATGGATCATCTGACCCTTCAGATTACTGTATTTTGATTGCTGAACAAAGGCCAAGGGTGCTATGAAATATACTAAAACAAAGCAGAGGTACACTTACCCCATTTCGACAGTGTATAAACCACTGTCATCCAATTCAACTGGCCAAAACTCCAAAATATCATCAAGCAAAGTAATTCTGGGTGAACTGCTTAGGTTTAGTTTGACAAGTTCCTGTGATCCGTGGCTTCGGGACCATCTGATAGTGGCAGTGTCATTCTTAGTCTGTGACTCTAAGCAGCCGTTCAGATAGAAAGGTTCCCCTTCAACCGCAGTCATGTAGAAAAGTGAAGTACAAGATTCTTCTAAAGATTGGTCGCGTAAAAAGAAAAAAACAAAATGACAAAGTTAATTTTTTTTTTGGTCTCCTCATGCATTAAGTAAAGAAGCAAGGTTACCAGGATAAATCCTGAGAAATCTCAGAGCCACATTCCTGTGGGTGCCCTTATTTTCGCCTCAATCTTTCATCACTAGGAGGAAAAAGGCACTTTCAGAACATAGATGAAGACAAAGCTTCCAACAGCTTCTCCCAAACAGGAAAGAATCAGAACATAACATACCATATCTAGAAGACAGGCAAATGTCATCTTTTAAGAGAAAATATTCATGGTAACTTCTCCATAGGGAAAGCCACAGATGTCACCGTGCTGCCACACCTGCTCCAATACATCCCCAGCTGAGAAGTCTCCACGGAAAAGAAAAGAAAGCTAGGGGCATTGGTGTTCCAAACCTTCACTTTGAGAAGTCTCATATACCTTGTGCTTGACCAATCTACCATGGGCTGGGCAGGTGTGGGACGCTTAAAGGTTTACTTTGCAGTTTCTGGTGTGTGCAAATGTGATACTGCTGTAGGTTACCAAGGATTGATTAATATAATACTAATCCAAATTTGAGTGTCTGTCACTTTCTCTCTTTGACAGCTTTCTTATTCTCCTTCTTTCTCAATCAACTCAGATTCTCTGGCTGTGGAAATAGTGCTCAGTTCCCTCCTTGTATACTTTGGTAGGTCAAAGTCAACATGGATGGGCCTTTTTCATATCCTGTCTTCCGGAGGCTTCAGAATGGACGTACTGTGTTTTGAGAATGACAGTATTTAAGGTGAATAAAACATACACCTGAGGACATGGACAAAATGCCCTCTCTATGGTTTGAGATTACTTCTCAAAGCAACAGTCTCGTTTTAACTCAGTGTCATTAACCACAACATAAAGAGGAAGTGGCTGACATGGCGGAAGTGTTCTTTGAAAACATGGATCAAATCTACCTGAAGGCACAGGAGTTCTTGAGCATCACTCTTACACGTTCGCTGGTTGTCATACAATCTCTACTTTACATTTCAACACAGAGGGAGCGATACATGTGTATATGGGGGTGTTCATTGCAAGCAATCCTCAAAACTGTGGTAGGTCATTATCTGTTCAAGTATGTTCTCATTTTAGAGTTACTATTATAAAGTACACAAATCATAAAATTTGTGCTATTTTGTGTCTGAATCTTTTGTGCATCATGATGCTGTGATAGCCTATATGTTACCGCTTATAGCAAGGAATGTGTTCTTTTCTCACCCTTATGTAATACCCAATAGTGTTACTACTTGACCATTCATTTATTCATTCTATAAATCATGTTACTACTTGACCAATCACTCATTCATTCTATACCAGGGAAATGTCACCTTTTACGAGAAAATATTACTCTTAATAAGAGTAACAGATAATGACCTACCACAGTTTTGAGGATTGTTTGCAATGAACACCCCCATATAAACATGTATCACTCCTTCCGTGTTGAAATACAAAGTAGAGATATTTGGTTTATTGGACAAATGTCTATCGGACCTTTGCGTTATTTCTAGGTTTCCAGGTTTTGGCTAGTCTTGAAAAGGCTTCTATGAACATATATGCCTGTGTTTTGATGGACATAGGCTGTTTGGAGGTAGTTATCATTTGAAGAAACCTACTGTGAATTACATACTCCCCAGGGATGTATAGATGGCAGGTGAACACACACGCTTCAGGCAGCTGGTAGCCTCACATATCTAATCTTATGCTTAGCATTAGAGTGTTTGCTGATTAATATATTTGTTAGAAATGGTTTTTGATGGGTGCAATGAGTGGAATTCAAAGTGCCAGAGCAGGAACTTCCATAAAAGAAAATAAGAACCCAGCTAAACCAAGAATTTATGCCCTGCGGAATACAATCTGTATCTGGAATCGTCTTGAGTTTGGAAAATTGCAGGATGCTGACACCTCACATCCACTGGACTCAATGGGTGGGGGCCATGACAATCTTGGAGCCAGCATGGGAATGGAGTGAGGACAACTCTCTGGAAGACAAGGCCCCAGGGAGATTCTGTGCAAGCAGCAAGGCCCCATGGAAAGTCCTGATGAAAATTCTGCATGACTGCTCTTTAAGTCATGGCCACCACTATGTTCCCATTAAACTGTTTTGCGTAGGCTTCATAGGAATAGTTTGTTTAGTTACGTCTTGGAAAAAGGAGGCTGCTCACAAATCCATGATAAATAATAGTTTCAGTATGAGCACCAACATAACTTACAAAAACAATGTGTCTCAACTAGATCCAAGAAAAATTATTTCCAGGAACAGCATGACACATAGTCAAGAACAAACACAATCATCTGTAACACTAACTAGTCCTATGCTGTGTCTCGTTAACTGTTCCCTGAATAGTTCGAACAAAGAACCTCTGATAAAACTGTGGTACCAAGGAATGGTGAGAATGAAACCATAAGTCAATTAAAGATAGGCTTAGATACTCAGCCACCTCCTCCTAATATCATTAGGCCTAAACCATTACCCACTATAAGAGAAGGAAACTATATAGGTTATATGCCTAGCACCTTTATATAGACTATTTACCTTTATAGAATATAAGTCTTACTTTCCACTTGCTAACCTTTATCTAATATTAACCTTGCCCTTTTAATAAGTTACTATTTCCAAGAACAGCTAACTTTTTTCCTAAGATATATTAAAAATGTAGACATTACTGAAGCACATAATTATACGTAAGCATCTTAATCACAATCACGTCATGAACTTATGATTATGATTAATTGTTAATCACTTTTTACTGTTAATTTACTGATATTTGCTTGCCAAAAATTATGATATAAATAAATCAGCACTGCTGTGCTTCGGTGCCAGAGTGCGAAACAGAACTCTGGTCCGACCCGTTTCTCGCCTTATCCACACATCCTGCCTGGGTTCCTGAATCCTGTGGAGCTGGACTCCAACACTCAGTGACTCCTACTATGTGGAAAATTGTCCTAGCTGTCAAGATAAACCATTCATGGAAGGTGCTCTCCAAGTACCTAACAGGACAGGCAGGCAGAACTTTGACAACTTACACAACAGGCTGAACAGCTGTTACTGTGTCAAAAACATTCTTTCGTTGTAATGGGGAGCCATGTTATGAGCGTACGTCCATCGAACTTGGGACTCAGGACACATTTTCCCACACCTTGCATTCTCACTCAGTAGTTTCTGTCAACTCATTCCACATCAAGAAAAGCTCTACCTTATTCCTTTAACATCTGGGTAGGATTGCATTGCCTGGATCTCAACAATAACTGAAACCACCTAAGTAAATATATGCCAGGACTGGGCCTATGTTATTTGAAAGTATCAGAAGCTTAACTCTGCTATCTCTTCAGCAGTAATTCTCAAAGTAGGCAATATGGGTTCATGCATTTCCCTCTCCTAAATAATAAATCAAGGCAAGTAAATATCTGTGCTCCCACTTTCTCCCCAAAAGCCTAAGGAAAACCTTGCTATTCAACAACAGAACTCTTCTTCCAAGAACAGAACCTTGAAATTCTTAATTTAAAAAAAAAAACCTCCAAGCAGTCAAGGCTAAAAAATTAAAATGAATGTTTGACATCTGTTATGATGTCTACTTGAGCTTCCTGGTCTTACCACTTTCCTTCTCAGTCTGTTTTTTTTGTTTTTTGTTTTTCAAAAAGACCTATAAGTTATTTTTCCATTTACTTTCCTTATTATTATCCAAAATATGAAATGAATCTTTGACTTCCTCTCAGGAGGAAAAACGTACACTTTCAAATAGCATGATGTCAATTTTGATCTCAGACAAATGTAATTTATTTCAAGATGTAAGTTTTTGCATCCTGCTCTCACTACATAAACTCAGAGGGCTGAATCTCATCTTTTGTGATAATACCATGTGCATCTTTTTTACTTGACCCCTTACCTATGAATCTTCCATTCTCTATGCCAGGCATACCAAATTGCTGGCAACTTTCGAAAGTAATCTTAAATCACTTATTTTTATAAGTTTAGCTCCTTTGGTGCCACCTTCACATATAAATTCCCAAAACCTTGATATCTCTCTCAATTACTAATGAAGTATATTTGCGAAAATTTATAATCACTTACCTGCAGCTCTTATAAACATAAGTACCCAAAGTGTCAAGGGCAATGCTCTGTGATACATGATTAGGATTCTACTTCAAATGTTTTCTCTGAAAAACAGGATAAGACAGGTTCAGTCAGGCTTTCAAACAAAAGCATATCTATCTTCTGAAGATTTGAACAATCTTTTGGCACATAGACTTCTAAAACACAGCTCAGAAGATCTTCATGCTTCTTAATATAGTCACCAATTCTCAGAACTTTCAGTCATAAAAAATTAATAAAATTTCAAGGCCATGAATTTTGGCTTCTGGAAGATATTCCTAGTAATTGAGTTTTCTAATCCAACAGAGCCTGATGGATTTTAGGCCCCGTCTATTCATTTTTGCCCCCAAGTTCAAAGCTGAGGACTATGGTAGTTCTGGAAAATCTACCATTCTGTGAATAAAAGTCTGTGACATGCTGAGATAGGTCTGTCAGGTCTGCACATATTCTAAATGAAGAAGTCACTGAACCTGGTGAAAGTGAGGTGACAGCATCCTATACTTGTCCCAACTCAAGATAATTCCAAATACAGACTTTATTCCACAGGGCATTGGTTCTTGTCCCAGTTTGGTTCTTATATCCTGTTTATGGAACACTGAGAGTACCTGTTCTGGCACTTTGAACTCTACACACTTTGAACTCCACTCATTGCACCAATCAAAAACCATTTCTCACAAACATGTTAAAAACCAAAGACAGTATCACGAGCATAGGATTAGATATGTGAAGTTACTAGCTGCCTGTGGGTGTGAACTTTCTTTTTTAAATTACATTACAAAAATTTTTTTTTTGAGTTGGAGTCCACCTCTGCTGCCCACGCTGGAGAGCAGCGGCATGCTCCTGGCGACTGCAGCCTCAACCTGCTGGGCTCAGGTGATATTTCTACCTCAGCCTTCTAAGTAGCTGGAGAACTTCAGGTGCACAACTATTTGTGGGTTGAAGTTTTAGAAATCCATCTTCCTTCTTTAGAACATAGTTGCACGAGTTTAGGAACTATGTCTATTTTGCTCATTGGTATTTCACTAAAATCCAGCACAGCGCCTAGCAGCACTCACCAACTTTTGTCTTTGAAGAATAGTTGCGGGTATGTGTGTACATGTGTCTGCTCACATGCCCCTGTGTGTTCATTTTAGGGAAATGGGGAGACAAAGTGGCAGTCTCCTATACTCCAGACCCCTCCTTACATTGACTGTGACCAGTAGAACTAGGATCTGCCTTAATGTTGATCTTACCACAGACTAACTTCTGCCATTCTAAAAACAACTTTAGGCAGCAGAATGGAGGAAGGGTCTCCCCCATTGGAGACCATTCACTGAGTCCGAATATTTCTTTCTTTTTTTCTTTGAGTCAGAGTCTTATTCTATCACCCAGACTGGAATGCAGTGCCACGATCACAGTTAACTGCAGTCTCAACCTCCTGAGCTAAGGTGATCCTTCCACCTCAGCCTCCCAAGTAGTTGGACTATAAACACGTACCACCACTCTTGGGAAATTTTTTTATTTTTATTTTTTGCAGAGGCAAGGTCTCATTATGTTTTCCAGGCGGGTCTTGAACTCCTGGGCTCAAGCAGTTTTCCCACCTTAGCCTCCCAAAGTGCTGGGATTATTACAGGTGTGAGCCACCATGCCCAGTTCGAATATTTCATAAATAACCTCATGTTCTTTTGTTTTCTCTCCTGGGTGAAGGGAGCACAGCCTGATGAGCATACAGGAATCTGTCCTGACCTTCCAGTTTGAGCCCTGACAAGCTGTGCACCTCGGGCAAGTTCCTGAAAGTCTCAGAGCCTGTTTGACCACTACCGGAATGGAGATGAAGAGGAGGCTTACTTCAGAATGACTGAGTGAATAAACTGAAAGGCACAGGGAATGGCCAGAAGGACATCTCCCAAGATGGCACCAACCCTATAGGGAATCTAACAAAGACAACAAAGGCTGTAAATTCCTGCCTCTCCCGCGTGCACGAAACTTAAACTCATGCACAAATATTATCTCCCTATAGGAATACTACCTCATAGCTCCCTCCAATAAAGACCCTAAGATGGCTCTGGCTGGCACGGCCAGGCTCAGAGAGCACAGGCCGCCCCCTCCCAAAACCGATAAATACAGACCTCTCTCTCGCCCTCTCTCTCTCACTCCCCTTCCCACCAGGTGGTTACAGACCTCATTCCCTCTCTGTAGCCGCTGCTCTAATAAATCTCTTGGCCTCAAAGGGTACCGAGTCTCACTGGCGCCATCGTCCTTCATTGGTGCCGTGCTCGGTCGGGAGCCCACTCGCCTAAGGCAAGGTCCCGTGCCGTTGCCGGTGGCACTCGCCCCTTGAGGCCTTCGCCCACTTTCTTGAATGCCAGCGCCGCATCCATCACCA